GGAAAGAGAAAGATTAAAATCAATATAATTGGTATAAAATGGGATCTAGAAGAAAAAACAAAGAGGAAACACTGCTCCAATGACTTTGGTTTTGAAATGAAAACAAGTAAATTGATGTATTTTATCTCCTGACATAAAAGAAGAAAGACTTTTTTCCCCCATAAACAAATTCAGTATCAGTGGACAAAATCCCAGACCCCATGCTTGAAAGAATTAGTGAGAGACAATTTATTTGACTGAATTTTTGCTATTCTCCAGTCTGCCAGTTCTTCTGTGTTATACAAACCTCAGATTCAGATTTGTGTAACTTTAAAAGTCACACAGCCGCGTCCCTAGCTGAAGGCTACTTCAGTTAAGGAGGGCCACAATCTGAAGATGCAATAGCTATGTGTTTGTTCTTCTTCTGGAAAAGAAGCTCCCACAGAGGGGACTGCAGCAGACAAGCTATCAATTAATCCCTCTTTGTAGACAAAGTTCTAAGTGTGAAGGTGAGAATTATTGAGTCATTCCTCTCAGGGCTGAAAACCCTAGTTTGATTCTGGCATAATTAAGTTTCCTCTTCACAAATACAGAAAGAGAACAAGCAAAACAGCTGAAGCGAAGAAAAAAAACGTGCATGTTACCACAAAGCTTTTTTAACATGCAGACTTACAAATTTCTATGCCATTTTATAACTGTCAAGTCTTAATTAAAATACTACATTTCTCTGACTCATGGTGCTGTAGGATGCATGTATATTATTCACATGAATATTAATCTCTTCCCAGGTAGGAGGCTGAATTGCTCAGGGGATTTATAATCACATAACATATGGAAACTTCTGGAGTGTCCTTTTTTAAAAAAAAAAAAAAAAAAAAATTCTGTCTTTCAAATTTCAGCCAGATCGTTAACAATTAAAAGTCATAAGAAGCATTTCAGTCATCTATGTGAGACGAATCCAGCAGTTTGGATTTGTGAGCTGGAGCTCCACATATATTAATGAAATGATATTGCACATTGAGGAAGGAGAACATGGAAAAGAGCTGGAGGCATCACTTTGAACATTAAGGACATAAGCAGTTGCTCTAAAGTGCTGGAACAAAAGAGAACGATAGTCCTCTTGAAAGCTTCTAGGTAATGACGGGAAGATGTTAGTAGGGTGATCAGAGAAATGAGACAACACCTTCTCTAACTACCCACAGAATCAGCTGGTTAGCCTACCATCACAGGAACCTTTAAAATGCTGATACTTGTCTGGATAGTCTGTATTCCTATCACTGACTTTCAAACAGGATCCAGGAACAAGTTGATGATGCACAAGGTGCAGAAAGCAACTAGCATAGATGCTCTTCTAGGGTTGAGCAAAAGAACAGAGAGAAATGAGGATGCAAATGCATCTGATAAAACTGTGACAGTCTTCCTGATAATGTAGAAGGAAAGGAAATGGAAAAGTTAGAAAAACATTTTGTAATTCAAGAACACAAACTAATAAAAACTTGGAAAATCAGTAGCTAGAGTTCACAGGAAACAGGCTTAAAGGACCAGGGAGTTCAGGAAGCTGTTAACAGTTAATAAAACAGCATTAATAGACAAAAATCTCAAGCTATCTCAGTGAAGAGCAAGGAAAGGATATACAATGAGAGACCCGTCTCTCTCTGCAGAGGGCTTGAACCCTCTTCTTAAGGAAGTTTTTAAAGGCAAGCATGATTCCACAGCGAAGAAATCAAAAGGCTGAAGCACAAAATTTAACACTTAGCAGTGAACACACAATATGACAACAAAATGGCTGCTACTTATAGGAAGATGATAGGTGGCATTAAGAAGGCTAGAACATTTGATGCCTTAATTGCTTCAGGTCTTCTCTGACAGGCACAACTGCAGTCAGACAGCTGACAGAATTAATATTGTTTTTTTAAAAAAGAAAAAAAAAAGTTTAGCACATTATAAAAAACAGGCTGCAGTAAAGGCAAACAAATTTGAAGGCAAACAGATAAGGTAGTTATTTCTAAGTCAGCTGGCCCTGGTAAATCTTCATCCTCGGGTACTAGGTTGCAACACTGACAATCACAAAGCGCTAAGCACTTGAAAAACAGGCAATGTACTTGAAGATTTGAAAAGGGCAAAGCGAGCATTTATGCTTCAAAAATAGGAAGAGGACGACTTGGATAATAACAACAGTGCTAACTTGACTTTCCCCCCACCTCCTCCTGGGAATTGAAGACTGGAAAAAATAATCAAATTATTTACAAACCTTCTAAAATATAATAAGGAGAGAAATAACAGTGAACATGGTTTCATCAAGAGTAGAACTGTGTCAAATGCATTTAACTTCCTTCTATGACAAGGTAAATTACTCTTAGGGGTAGGAGAAAAACAGTAGAAGTTTTATATCCCGAGGTCTGGATGAAACTGCTAAAATAAATGCAAACACACTGGAAAAAAATTATAGTCAGGGTAGCCAAACTCAAGAACGTATCAAGCAGGGTCCCTCAGGCAGCTCTGGTAGCACACAGCCTGGCAGCCTGGGTACTACACAACTTTTTCACACACCACTTGAAGGATCTGTAGGCATAACAGATTAGGAAGAGACAGACAGCAATGTGCTTAAGGAGTGAAAAAAAAACCCCACAATTCTCTAAGGACAAGTGTAAAGCCATATTCAGCTGTAATCCAACACAAATTAGGCTAGGGAACAAGTGACAAAGCACTTCTTCAGAAGGAACCTCAGCTCTGGAAAGGATAAGAGGTTAACTATGCATCAGTGTTAGTCTGCAATAAAAAGGCACCATCACAGCAGGATACTTGATATCTTGGGATATCAGGATCACAGCCTGGAGAACAAAGTCTTCGTTGCTCTGTAGTGCAGATGAGCAGGCTCTCAGCTGGGTTTCTACATTCAGATTTGGACACTGTACTTCAGGAAAAACAAAGGAAGAAAAAAAAAAAAAAAGGCTGATTTAAGAGTGCCTAAAACAAACCCTCACAAGAAAAGGCTAAAAGAAGAAAGGTCTTTTAGTGAACATGAGAAGAGCAGGTGGGGCTTCATCCTCTCTTTGCAGCAGCTCTTCACTATTCCAGAGGAAGGAAATCAGTTCTGCTCCTTTACTCCTTGTCCTAATCATGAGAAATAGATTTATATGGCACAAGAGAGATCTAGAGCAGAGGTTACGAAAAGCCTTTAGATGGTAAAGATAGTTAAACCCTGCTGCAGGCTGCTGGAAAGCTCCATCTCAAGTTGTTTAAGGGAATTATGGATCAATAGTTGTTAGGAGTGGTCAAGGCAAAGCAAATAATGACATTCTGCTATTAAAACTAAACCAGTGTTTCTGCAACAGTCGTCTCAAAGCATGTCTTCCTTCCAATTCAGCAGAAACACACAGATTGATGCTGAAACACCTCACTGATCTTGTACTCTTTCAGAAAAAAAAAAAGTGCTGTCTAGGGAGAGGCATCATTGAATCTCTTGTCCCTTCTAGTATGTTTGTGCACTTTTTCCATAAGGCACAGAACTAAACTGTTTTGCTTGCATGCTCTACAGAAAACACAACAGAAGTTCCTTTTCTTCTTAGATACTAATTGTGCTCTTAAATTTCACTTTCCATGTCATACTGACAGTTTTGACCCAAATCCCTTCTGCTCAGAAGTGAAGTAACACAGTAATTGTTAGATGGGAAAGAACTTAAAATCCAGAGAAGCCAAGGGAAAAACTATTGGCACTTCAGATGCCTCCCCAGATGCAAAAAAAAAATAATATTGTTTGTTTTCTGCAACAAATCCAGAAAAGAAAATCCTGCTACTGACAGATAGATAGAGCAAAATAATTTCTCATAAAAACAAAACAAGAGAACTATAGAAGAAAGTAGTATTTCTAAACACACTTTGGGTAGTAGGCAATAGTTTATCATCTATAGAATATGAACACCATATGTTATCTTTCTGTGGGCATACAGATTGATGAAAGCATAAGACTTTTTTTTAAAAAAACAACTTTTTGGGTCTTAATCGCTGTTTTCTTAAACAAGAATGTTTATACTGTTAAAGAAAATGTTGCAACCTTTTCCTTTTGACTTTGCAAATCAAAATTATTTATTTTTAAATCTTACTTTCATGAAATGGAAATATCAAGACTTATTATACACCCACTTCCAATTAGTATATATAAAAATATTTGGTGTAAAGTCTCCCAAGGAACATTTTCACACGACAAATAATACAGATAACTCCTAAGCTAACAAGCTATCCTGAAGTTGACTTGAGAAAAAGTCTTCCTTTTGAACAGCTTAACACAAACCATTTAGTCACAGACATTATTATTAATATTTACAAATTCAGAGCTGATTTCTCTGTTTCTGCATCTCTTCTGGTATTCATCTCTAGTTTCACACAATGATGTTCAAAGTGTTTGTTAGAATTAGATAGCTCTAAGGCAGTCTCAACACAGTTGATTAAATTTTTGTTTGCAAAACATCAAAACTGTAAGAGGTGTCTTACAAGGAAGAAGAAATGAAACCTTTAGCCACAGATCTAAAATCCAGGTAGCACAGAGAAGGAGCAAAGCCATACTCCATCCTACCTCTTGAAGCTGCAGTCGAACTTTGCTAATGGCTCTAATCCAATGGGCTCTTGCTGGAGGAAATGGTGGTGGCTCGTTGTCACCATGGTAGCTTAAAGGCAAGAAACAGAAAATCACTGTATGAGAAACACTCATCTTTAGCAGTAAAGATTCAACGTTACACAGCACAATCACAGCTTCAGCTCTGGTAACCAACAGGCTCCAGTCAACACAGCCCTGCACATGCTCTGGGAAGTGAAAGCCTAAAGCAGAGGTTTCTTTATACACAGGAACCATCTTGGAAATTGATGAGCTGAAAAATATAAGCTAGGATACAGCCCCAGGAGTAAGATGATGTTGGTCAGAACATCAGGAAAGCAGTCTGAGATACCTGATCAAGCCAGTTCAACACGCTATTATTGTAACTGCATGGGCAAAGAGGCAGATGGAAGATTTTCCATCCCCACACCTGTTGCAGGTTCCTTCTAACCACTGCCTCTTCCTACTCACCTCTACTGCTAAAAATTTACAGCCCCTCTTCAGTAGAAACACTGGCAGCAGGGCTCAGCTGTGTTTTTCTGTATTCACTGCACCTTTCTCACTGTTTTTTTTCAAACAATGCACCAATGCTCCATCTCAGTGCCCCACAGCACATTTTACACTCCCTAACCTCCTCACACACTGGGCCTTTGGCTGCATTCCTTCTTTTCTGTGTTGCTGAGGTGTAAATCACTGAAACAAACATCTTTCCCTGTCTGCAAAGCACCCTGCACTGCTGACGGTATAAAAACATAGCTGAGAACAACATGCATCATACTGCACATCTAGCTCAGGTGCAAGGATCATTGTTCAGAGCTCAGTCCCATGCATACTCCATGGAGACAGGAAAGTATTGTCAGAGAATGGAGTGAAAAGGAGCCAGTATCCAAGTTAGATGCTTAAATTAGTGTGAAAGAGGCTATGTGAATAACTGTCCCTGAAAACAAATATAAGCCAGGCATTCTGGGACAAGACTCCTGCTGCTCTGTAAGGAGAAGAGGAAAGTGAGTCAGAGTTTTAAAACAGTGTAAAACACTTTTTCTAGTCTTGTTTTCCTTTTCTACATCTTTAGTGTAAGGCTTGCCTACACATGAACTGCTGTGGTTAATTCTCTCATATAAGCACAGTGACAGCAGCTGTACCCTCCAAACGGTACAGACAGGCAGACATCTTTCCATGGGTCTAACTGACCCAGATAAAAACAATCCCAAATACTTGTGAAAATATAACTGCATCAGCACTAGGGTCTGCAATGACTTGATCACCTCAAGCAAAAATTCACTCCCAAAGTTAAGTAGTGAAATTTGAAATTCCTGTAAAACCTGTACAAACCCTAGTGAATTACTCCCCCAAACTTAGATGGAATACTTTTGAAGACTGTTTTCAATACCACTGACAGCTTGGAAAGCCCAAGTGCAAGGACAAAAAAAGCTGCCACAGTGAGTCAGAGCAACATGTCTATAGATATTGTAATTCTATAACCTACAACTACATAAACACTAATTCTAGTTGTGGTAGCTACTATGGAAGAAAGGAACTAGTACAGCTCTAACCATGACTACATGTAGTTCTTGGTTGCTCACATATAAGCTTGATCACACATGAGCAATGGAAGCAGCTATCTTTGAGCCAGACTACATTCATGAAACCAGAAACACAAAATACAGCAAATGAGCTTCAAGGCCCTAGCAGGCATTCCTCTTTACATACACCGCAAACATAATTTAAACTTAGCCAATGCTTCATAAGTAACTGGTCCAGCACATAAAGATGTTTCACAGATCAGCAACATCAAGTTAGTTGTCAGAGAAGGCTGCAAGAACAATGTACATAATTTGCCCCAGGAAACAGCAAAGAAAGGAGTCCTCTTTGAATTAGTTGAAAAGAACTCAGTAATAGTTTCACCTACCTCACTTGGGCTGCTGCATCAGAGTCCTTGGGCTTCTCAAGTTCCGGAGGTAACTTAGCTGCAGAATGGTCTGCACGTTTCTCCTCTGTCTCGCAGACCTTCTCCTCCTCTCTCTTGCTGAGAGGCTCCTCTTGCTCCCTGAGCCATGCCTGACCATCCTTCTGGTAGCTGCCTGAACTGCGGTAGGAATGATTTGACTCTCTTTCCTGGTGATCATCATCATGCTCAGAGCCATGGGCACTTTCATGGGAATGGTCCAGCTCACTTAGGTGAGAGCTTCCCTGGCTGACATTACAAGAGGAGCCATATCTACTACTGCCAGCAGGACTATGAGAGAATAAGAAAGTCCATCAGAAAAAAAGTATGACTTGGAGAAATGCAAAGCAATCTGAAGTCATATTTAACTGTTCTGCTCCCTGAACTAGATCTAGACTTCTGAACCTCAAAACTTTGGTAGGCAGCAGAAGTACTTCATACACAGCCTACCAGCATATAGACCATATATGTCAATGGTCTTTCTTGCACCAATTGACTACTACTTCACCTTACGTCAGCTAGGAACTGTCAGTGAAGATATACCAATAACCAGACAGGAATAAGAATGGAAACATAGTAATTCAGAGTGGAAGTGTTTATGTCTTCTGCAGTTTCACTGCAGCTCTTTACCATGACCATTTAAGCTGACTATTGCTGAGAAGTACAGTCAACTTAAATGTAACTTTTTTTTAATATATATATATTATACATTCATGATAAAATACATTGCAGTCAATGTTAAGGTTGCCGAGACTACCAACTTAAAAACTTTTACAAAAGTAGAGAAATTGTTCAAAGGGAAGCCACATGTCTCACTCCCATAGAGCTTTTTCAAGAATTTAACTTATATTAAAAAAAACCAATGCCACAAGGGCATGATCTCTGCGATTCTAGACATTACTTCCAGGACTGAATTCCTAGAATCCTCACACAAAATACAGTGGATGGAAATTTCTCATGTAGTCAGGAAAACTACGGGCAAGAATTAAGCAGCACTGATGTTTCTCTCACTTGCACACTTAGGAGAATTTGAAGCCAGATAGGAAGTTTAGTGAGTGCAGTGTTGCAACTGTATGATCACACAGAGATGTAAGTTTAGCAAGTCTCTGTTTTCATTTTTGAGGGCAATTGTAACTTAACGCATGCACAGGACTGAACACAGACTCATGAAATACTGATACCTTCCTTTAGTGGCTTTCCTAACTGCATGAAATAACCTTTGCACAGATTTTAAGAAGAGCAAGCATTAGAATACCTTCACTGATATCTCTGAAAATGTTTTAAAATCTTCAATAATGTGACATTAACCTAATTAGTTCTATAATAGATCAGCAGTAAGTTAAACTTCTCTCTAAAATTAAAAGCATTTACCTTGCAAAATGCTCATTGCTTCCAATACATTCTATCTACTGTTACTTTTTTCTTAGCAAATACAACATAATTATCACTAAACAAGTAAGCAAAGTGAATGGTATGCAGCAGAATTAACACACAAAGAATATAACTTCTGAAAGACTAATGAAATTAGCACTAAAAGCATCTCATTCAGTGGGACACAGTTTAAGAACATGGGAAATCCAATTACACTTACAGAAAAAAAAGAGTGGAAAAAGGTGAGAAAATGGTCTAAGGACTTGTACATAACTAGTGATTGCTGTTTGCCACATCCTCTGTGACAGCTATCAGTAATACTACAAACACTTGACAACAAACAGGGGATGGGACTGAGCTACAAACATCTGACACCAAGGCCACTATCTACTGCTGCAGTACTGCATTATAAATGGTCAAAAACTTGAAACCATTTATTATGCCTCATTTGTAACTAGCCTTTTCTCATTCGGTTGTTCCACACTATTCAGATCTGCAGCCTGCGTGCTAGCATGAAACATTGCGCCATTAGGAACAGAATCAAGCTCTGTTTCTTTCATTTCAGGCTCATCTGATGTGTGCTCTTCTGCCTGATCTTCTTTCTGTTGTTCACCTGAAATCACATCCTGTGGATTTTCTGACTCTTTTTCAAACTTCTCTCCCAGCTCTTTGTTGGGTGTATCATCAGCAGCGCTTGCACCAGATGGTTCTTCAGAAAGTTCATTGTCTACAGCGTCAGGCTGCTTTGAAGATAAGTTTACATCTATATTTGCATCAGTCAGTTGATCTGAGACTGCAGATTTTGAATTTTCATCTGAACTGACTGTTCCTAACACCTTGTCATCTGGTTTTGACAAAGCCTGTGGTGGTACATGTGGTTCCCTTTTGGCAGAGGTCTCCTTGTTGTCTTTTTGCCAGGGGAAGGAGAAATCTAGCTTTTTCCCAAATACTGCTCCTGGGGCACTCTCTGGCTTACTCACCTTTTCTTCACCACCTCCTTCAAACAGAGTTGAAGAAAGTTTCTTAAAGCTGGACATGAGGCCCTGATCTGCCCCTGCTTTATTAACAGAAGGTGGCTGCTGAGAGAAGAATGATCCAAATGGCTTTCCACTATCAGCAGAGGACATAAAGCTGAATTTGGGCAAACTGGGCATGCTTGGCATTTCAAAGACCATTTTACTACTGTTTGCATCTGGAGGAACATTATTAGGTTTACCCTGTTCCTTCAAGTCACATTTAGAAGCAAACCCTTCTGCAGGCACCTCATCAATTGCTAAATGTTTCTCCTCTTCAGCAGTTTGCTGTTCTACCTCACTTGTCTGCTCTTCATTCAGCTGGAGCAGATGATCACTCGGCTCATCAGCTGAAGCTGTGAGTTCTCTACCATGACTACTGATCATGTCCTGCTGATCACTACCAGCCTTGGCCTGATCCCCTGTAACAGCAGGCTCTGATTCAAGTGTAGCACTCTCCTCCACCTGGGAAAGGTTTGGGTCTGCTCTGTTAGTTGGGGCTTCCATTTCCAGTTCAAGCCCATCAGAAGAGCCAGTCTGAAGGACCTCAACAGCTGCCTTGTCTGTAGAAGCAGCTTGTTCCTCTGTTACATGTGAAGACCCCATGTCTAGTTGGAATGTATTTACATCAGTCTGGTCAGCAGCCTCAGCCTGCACTGCATTAACTGTGTTATTGGAATCAGACTGGGATGGCTTAGTAGCTACCATCTCAGAGGGTTGTGCATCATTACCCAACTGCAGAACCTCAAGGGCTTGATTTTCACTAGAGACTACTGTTTCTGGAGCAATCCTCACAGGTTCCTCTTTACAGATTTCCGACTTCCTATTTTCCTCAGTTCCTGTTTTCATAGGAGACTCTTTTGTGGAGTTCTCTTCTGCTGAAACAGGTAGTACATCCTCCTTCAGAGAACTTCTGACATGTCTTTTAGACTCTCTGACTGCAGCTGTATTTTCTGTCGCCCTAGAGTCTTTTGCTGGAACAGACCCAGTGACATCTTTCATATTGCTGCTTTGAGGTTTAAGGGAGGATTTTGGAGGCATATCTTTTGGAGATTCTTTTGGACCTTTGAAGATGCCAAAAAGATCATTTGTGAAAGCTGGTGCTGGGCCACTTGGGAGGGATGAGAAACCAAAGAAAGAGGAGCTTTTCTTCTGTGCAGTAGGAGGTGCAGTAGCTTGAGGTTGGGAAAAGAAACCAGATAATGTTTTAGGCGGTTTCATTTTTGTCATGAAACTTGAAAACATTTCAACTGAAGAATCCAGTACCGATTTATCACTCTCAGATTCCTTAGGTTTGTTTTGCAAATTAGATGCCTCTGGCATTTTAGAAGGAGAGTGTAGCCCTTGTGCCAGTTGTAACCTGTCACCAAGAGTTTGTTCTGGTAATTTATGTTCTGGCAGCTCGTGTTGTACACATACTTCTTCAGAGACCACTTCATTTTTTATGTCACTCATAATATTTAAGTAATGTAGACTCTGGGAATCCATTTTATCACCTAAGGCCGTGCTATAATCTTGCGTTTCAGAAGCTTGTTCCTTTGAAGAATAAGGCTCCTCTTTATCAACAGGATATGCAACACTGTCCATCTTCCCTGTGCTATCCAAAGTATCTTCTTCTCCCTCTAATGAAATAGTCTGTTGGCCCTGAGAACCCTCCTGCTCACTGGGAGTCTGAAGGCAAGGACCAGAAGCAGCCGAATTGGTTACAGCAGCAGCATCGGTCTGTGGAAGCTTCTCTATGTCACTCTCTTCAGCTACCTCACCAACGCTTTCTGCATTTTCCACTGCCAGCATTTCTGATTTATTTTCTGGGATCAAGAGGCTATTAGACATTTGTTTGCCAGTCACTGCTGCAATAATATCATCCACTTCTTTTTTACTGTCTGTGCCTTGTTGCCTGGCAGAACTGTTAATTTTCACAACAGAGTCAGTGGAAATATTTTGCTTCACATATGGCTTAGAGTTCACTGGTTTAGCTGGTTTTGTGTTACTCTCCTGTCCTGGAGCAGTTTGTGGCTTTTCATCCAAAAAGGACGTCAAATTGAAAAAGCTAAAGCTAGTACTTCTTTGAGGTATGCTCTTCTCAGCAGTTGGACCACTGGAGAAGAAGGAGGGCAGATGAAACAGCCCCTCTGTTTCCTGCTGCTTCCCGCTAGCAGGAGCAGTAGCAGGTGCTGAAGGCTTTGGCTCATCTGATCCAGTGAAGAAGGAGAATATGCTCCTGCTGGCTGGCTGTGATTTCAAAGCAGTGATATCAGAAAAGCTGAACGGCAAACTGAAACCCGACTCTTTAGGTGTCTGATTTGGCTTTGGTTTTGCCTGATTAACTGTGCCTGCTAAATGATTTCCTCCTTGTTGCTTCGGTGTAACCAAGGGTACGCTGCTTTGCTGCACAGCTGACTGACTCGGTTGGCTTATTTTGGGACCTACACCCATTGGCTTCTGTGAAGTGTTTCCAGGAGGCACTTTTTTACTCTCAGGAGACTCCTCCTCAGCTTTTCTGCTCTGTTGCTCCATTTGCACCCCAGGGCTAGGAGAAACCTGCCTGACCATGCCTTCTGTTCTCAGCCCTTCCTTAGGGGTGGAGGACAGACATGGCATACTGGCACTCTGAATACCCCCAGACTTCTCAGTTTGTTGTCTTGACTCAGCCACAGTTCTGCTATTGGTTTTTGGCAGAGTCATAGTACTTGAGGTTGTTTGAGAAGACACAGCCTCCACTTTGAAGAGATCTCCAAGGGATCCAAATAATGATGAGATGCTGGAGGTTTCCTTCTGTTCCAGTTGTATCACCTTTTCTGGTTTATCACTTTGACTTTTTTCCAGATCTGGTGATGGCTGTGTTGCTTTGCCTACTTGCGTTTTAAAGAAATCGAAAAATCCAGAACCTTGGGTTTTGTTGGCAGT